TTTTTTTTTGATCATTTGGATATGCTGGTCGAATAAGATCCATTAAACGTGTTACTAATAATTGTACACAATTAATTTTCGGTTTTTTTTCTTGTTTAAGATCTCGTAAATAAAACATTAAAACTTGTTCAAGTTGTTTAGCACTTTCTTGTGGATTATGATCAACAATAATATATTCATGTTGACCATTTGAATTATCAATTTGATTATTATTAGTTGTAATTGATTGAGAATTTGTTATTTGTCTATTTTCAGATGAATTATTAGCTTGTCTTAAACGTGTTACTATAGGTACATACGTATTATTTACATAGTCATCATTAGATTCATGAATAATTGATGGATTTATAATAGTTATATCCGAATCATCCTAAATAAATAAATTAAGAAAAAAATGAATTTATTTTATTTCAATTATTTACTTGATTTAAACCAACTGATGAATTATAAACAGCCATGAATAATATATATATATATTTTACCTTTGAATATAATCTGAAAGTAGAGTGAATGATTTAGATAAAAAAAAGAAATAAGTAAGAAAAAAACAACTTTTTGTCTTTTGTATACTCTTAATAAACGATGATGTAGGCGCAGTTATGACTCATCGCCTTTTTCTGTTGGGTAAGAACAACGTTAATCATTTTCTCGAAAGAATAGGAAATAACCCGAAGCTTTTTTTTTCTTCCGTTCTATTGTTTTGTTTTTCCAATGTGGACGAGAATAACACACGTTATTTAGATAGAGATATAAGTATGTCCTAGAATAAAATATTCTCAATTAAACAATCGAAATATATATCTGTTAACTAACAATTAACTGATACTAGGAGTGTCTTATGATGAAATCGAAATATTATCTTTATAAATGCATATCTAACATATTTTAAAGAAAAAGAAAATGAGAAGAGTTATATTCATATCTATACTTTTTCTATGTTTTATTTGTTTGTTAACAACACAAGAAAAAAAGATAAGTAATATGCAACGATAAAAGCAGACACGTAGGAGGTCAAGACGAAGAAAAGTACGAGACAAACTTCGTCAATATTACAAAAAAAAGGCAGGTACTAAGATAAACATTTGCGTACGAAAATTATGGAAGAATTCGATTTATTGAATCAAACTTCAGAAAATAAAAATACTCAAGAAGATGATTTATTCGGATCAGGAAATTTGGACAATACAGCACCTACTAATACATTCAATACCAACCAACAAGAAGATCTTTCTTGGGATATTGGAAACGTAAAAACACAACAAAGATTTCTTTAAAATACTAACTATCTTTTCTCACTTTTCAATTAGGTTTCATCTAATGCAACAACAGAACAATTTGATATGTTAGGTGGTGATATATTAAATAATTCAAGTTCAGTTCCACAAGTATCATCATTTGATAGTGATATGTTTACAACTCAATCGAGTACCGATACATTAGATTCATCTTCAACAACAAATTCATCACCGACATCAAATAATGATAGAACAGAACAACAATCAGGTTTGTTTTTTTTCTACTGAAAATTTTTCTCTTTTAATTAAATTTTGTTTTCAAACAAAAAAAATAGATAATTCATCATTTGGTATGTTCTCAAATCCTGTATCATCAACTGAAAGTGTATCTCCTTTACAAGCATATAATGCTCGTCGTCAACAAGAAATAACGGAAAAAGATGTTGTCGAACAACGAAATATTGAAGAATTACGAAAACAAGCTAAAACTGATTTAGAACGTTGGTATCAAGATCGTCAAAAGCATATGGAACAAAAACGACAAACAATGAAAAGTGAAGAAGAACTTTTTCGTACAAAAGCATTAGAACAAAGTGATAAAACATCATGTGATTGGTCGAAAGTTATACGTTTTCTTGAATTTTCACAAGGTACACATTTAATAAAAGGTAAACGTGATTTAAATCGAATGAAAAGTACTATTATGAATGCTACACGTGATAGAATAAAACGAACATCAGAAAATAGTGCTTAAATCAAGATAAAAACTAAAAGACTTTGTTTTTTCTTCATTTTTATTATACAAACGATTTATTAAAATTAGTGGTGTGTGTTTGAGTTTGTGTTTTGTTTACATTTATAAATCAGTAAAAACTTATGTATTTGTGTGGTGTGTGTTTTTTTAAACGTAATTAAATAAATGCTTGAGTTTGTGATCGATATATATATTTCAATTTCTTGACAATTGATGAAAATGTTGAACAGCTGAAACAAATTCTGATCGATTGCCAAGTATTTTAAGTAATTCTGGAAATGATGGACGATCATGTGCTTCGAACATCCAACATTGACGCATTATTTCATATACAGAACTACTACAACCAGATGGACGATGAAGACGACCACCGGATGCAATATAAGGATAGATCTAGAATATTCAATATTTTATTTAGATATATTTAAATTAAACAAACTTCTTCATTATGCATTGTTCCATACGGATATGTTCCGAACGTATAAATTTCCCACATTGTGATACCAAATGACCAAACATCACTTTTACTTGTAAATTTCGATTGATTAAGTGATTCCGGTGCGTACCTAAAATAGTATATAATGTTGTTTGATCCCTCAAAGTCACTGATATATATATAATGTCCTATCTCAATTAATTGTAAAAGATTTCTTTCTAAGATCGAATCAAACATCATTTTTTATTCGTATCAAACTTTAATGCGATATTTTATCTTCGATGTTTCTTACCAAGCAATTGGTATAGGTGTATCACTTTGCTGAAAATAATAATTATCTGAATCAACACTCCGCGATAAACCAAAATCAGATATTTTTATCTAAAAAAAGAATTCTTAACTATTTCAATAATTATTCGATATATTACTCGTGAATGTGATTGCATTAAAATATTTCTTGCAGCTAAATCTCGATGAACAAAACGTTTCTTTTCCATATAAGCCATTCCATGTATAATTTGTGTTACCCATAAAGCAAATAATGATCGTGCTGAATTAGTCACATGTGCTTTCAAATAATCTAACAATGATCCCATCAAAAGAAGTTCTTGTACCTAAGAAATATATCAGAAATGAATAAAATCAAAATTAAAGATTAAATAAACAAACAAAAGCTTAAATATATTTTTTTAAGTATTAGTGCATAGAATGTTAGTTCGCTTGAAACCAATAACCAAAGCGACGGGTCATTTCTGCTGTCAATGTAATAATAATCTTGAACAAATATATATAGCATTTTATTGAGCCATTCAATAGAAAACTGTTTTTTTTAAGCTATTTATTAATACCATCAATGTACTATTCAATTTTTTCGATTGAGCTACACCGTAAAGACGAACTATACATGGATGTGATAATTCTTTCATAACAAATGCTTCTTTTTTCATTTCTTCTTTCGAACTTGAATCCATTGTTGTTTTTAGTGCTTTAATAGCAACAGGAACCTAATTTTTATATATATAAAAGCAAAATTTTTAATAAAAACAAATGGTCAAGTCAAGTGTGCTCGAAATTTGCAATTTACGGAAGTCTTAGATTTCGCGAAAAACTGTAATCATCTGTTTTTGATTGCTCTAATAGATACTCTGGACTGAGCTGACGAGGGAACCTTTTCAGGTGTCGGCCTCAGATTTCGATTATTTTCCGGCCCATTAGTACTATGTAGTGCCCTAATAAAAACCTTAAAAGGATTTGAGTTAATATTCATTCCTTCAAAGTTTACGACCATTTTACTAAATTTTCGACTTGATCCTGGATATAGATCGGAGAAACCTAAACAACGAATTTCGAAGTGAAACTTCGCCCATAAATAGATATAATGATCCTAAGAATATCCTGAAAGTTTCAGCCAAAAATAATCTTCCGTTA